AGAAATGTGATGAAAACCTAGCTGTATTTTCTGGTGCTTCAGGTCTCACCTCTAATTTTTCTGTTAAAATAAGATAGGATTGGCAACTAGATCGAAAGAGTAAGGATTTCTCTGAGCAACAGACTACCCTTAAATTTTATCGCTAATTAAGACCGTGACTAATTCACCGGAAACCATGTCTGTCGTCGAGGGCAACTCTTTATTCATGATTAGCGTTTGACGTGCAATCAGAATATAGTGTCCACATGACTGACGCATGGCTGATGAAACAGAAAAGCTGACTCATCTTGAATTCACACCGTGTAAGCGAATCGATAAAAACAACAAAATGGCAGCCAAGATGTGTTAAACCAAAGCTGTCTTAATATAAACAAAGCTAGCGAACATTGCGACACAACGTAACATCCCAAAACAATTATATTGTCCATTACGCAAATAACAATCTGCTGTTATTGTGCAACTGAACGCCACAAAGTCCAGCGGAGCGATATGTCGTTTATCTTCGATACCAGCCCTAAAGCGCGATTAATTACGAAATTCAAATCACGCTTCAAAATACTCTGCTTCAAATGAATCAGTAATTGCCTGCTAAATTACAGTTGCGACAAAATTGCGCTGTTATTTTACATCCACTACGGCGACACGCGGAGAGTGGCCTTGGTCTTACTGTAAGCTGGTTTATGTGGAATGTTGAAAAAAAAAAAAAAAAATACGCATGGATTCGCCTGAAGACAAATAGATACTCATCGTGGCGCAAAATATTTAAGACACACTTTGTTTCATTATCTAAAGGTTTCACCTAGAGAAAATGTTATCCTTGTAATGGGAAAAGATGACAAAGGTTAAAGAACTGTGTCCAAATTAAGAACTCGCTTAATTTCTTCGTAGTAGCGGAATGTGATTCCGTGATGCTGGCCTGTTATCCGAAAACACGAAACAGCGCCATACTAGAACCAACTGAAGAACTCAATTGGTAAACTGGCTGATGTTATGATATCAGAAAAGACAAAGAACAAGAAGCAGTTTTTAGAAATGGAGAAGCTTCAAACGAGAATCATTCGGTAAACACTAAACAAAGACACGATCTCATTCTCCGGTTTCAGCGGAAATAAAGTCCTGCTCGGTTCGCAAGCGAATCTAGTATGGAACAGAATCAGTCCCATGTTCAAATATTAATAAGCCGCCTTGAATTATTGAAGAAGTATATTTTAAAAGCTACTCACCAAAAGTGGGTATTTTTGGGCGAATCTGCGTGCGTGGAACTTCGAGGCTGCTCACAGACACACAATACAAAGAGACATGCCGTTTTGAGTCACCGAGTTTATGCTATAAATAGAAGCATACCGGACGGGTACTGTTTGTTTGGGACCATGCGTCAACGAAGTCACGCAAGAGGGACTGGGGTGGCTGATCAGCTCGAAGCTGGGACGGGTGGCAAAATTTGGGGGCACGGAGGGAAGGGGAAGGTTATTCAATGCAGTGGAGACTTGAAAACTAGTGGAAATTCATTACGTGAAAATAATCTGTTGGTGTAAGTTATAAAATAGAGGGTACTTGGCGGTTTTGTTGAGCCCTTGCTGGTAAAGGTAAAATCGATTCTGAGAAATTAGTTTTCTGAGAGAGACTATCAGCGCCCCACCTCCTCCTCCCTTCCCGTCCCCCGGTTAGCTCACTTGGTTAGAGCGCCGGAGTGTGTTGTGCAGGAGGTCGAGGGTTCGAGTTCTGGCCCGACCAATACTCATGGTCTAAAAATAACTGAAGAGAATTTCCTACCTTTCTATAATATCAAGAGATGGATAGAAAATCTAGTCTTCTCGGATAAGGACCAATATACCCTAGGCCCTGTCTCCTGCAGGGTTAGGGGTAGGAGACGTTAATTTCCCACGCATCAGATTGCTGTGTGGTGGATGTCCTCCCCTGGGGTGGGATGGATGGGTGTTCACAGGGCCCCATTTAAACTAGCTATCTGCTAAACAGGGCTACCCTGTATAAATATTCGTAAATACATACATATTCGTAAATAAATACATTCCCATCAGCAAAATCAACCTCGAGAGCGGAAAACTTTTTCATTGCCAATTATGCTCCGCTTGAGCTTAAAGTTCTGCTTTCTTTACTATCATTCCAAAAAATTTTCCTGTTTGGTTTGTGGTAGACCAACTTCATTATGTCAAACCATAAGATATCCGAGCCTATCAATACATAATTTACGCGTTTAATTAAGACACATGGAATTATCTTTAAAAAATCCGTAACATTCCTCAGTCAATCTGGTGGACTGCACGTGGCTGACGGGCGATTTACCTTGGTTTAAAAACTTCCGGCAATGAATGAACCATGGACTCACTAATAACTCTGATTGTAAAAGAGTTAACTGTTTTGGTAAAAACACAGTAAGAACCACATGCAGACGAGAGTAAACAATAACATCCACAGTTTCGAAGTGGAATTATACGAACTGCAGAGAAGGACTACTTCAAGAAGTAGAAGATCTTAAAACATGTTTCAACTGAGTTTGATGTGCCCGCTGACTGAGATTATACAAAATATGAGGAAGAAATTAAATTGATTGACAGGCAGATGTTGGCCCGAGCCAACTTCCTAATCTTCCCGGAATAAAAGGAACTGAAAAGCTGTGCGTTACAGTTTAAGCTGTGAAGAAGGAAATTCAACGAAATCTAATGATATTATGTAACTACCATGCTCATAGAAAAGCGCTTTTCATACCAGAACCTCCATCGGTGGATATTTATTCATCCGTTACATATCGAGTGCAGAATGATTTTGAGTTATGTCAAAGGTTTCTGCTCGGCGCTGTTGTCTTACATTTAAAGGAGATTACAAAACAATAACGTAGTAAGGAATAAAAACAATGAAACTTGCAATCGCAAACGCGTAAAAACAACGTTTAAGAATGAAAGGAACTGCGTGTCATCCAAAACATATCATCTGATGTAATTTTAACCACGTCACATAAACACGCGACTGACGTTACATAGCGGCATCAGTTTTCTTGGGCCAATAGGAAAGGTTTCTGAGAAATTATTAAAAACAAATCGGAACAGAGTGTTAGCGTGTCAGACGTCTTTTGCTCAGAATACAAAGAAACGAGGTATATGCATCTGATCTGATGCATCAGTGGCCATTCTTTTATTACCGTTTCTTGTTGAACTTATCAAGTTCCACTCAACACCGATGAAAAATTTCCAAAATTAATCCACCTAAAAGAACATTAACTTTGAAGAGAAAAGCTCATTTTCATGATTGATGTATTTCCCCTGTTTGAAGGTAAAAAATCCAATTCACATCAAGAGATTAGCGAACTATGTAGGAGACCGGAAGTTTGTTCAGTATTCCGCAAAATTACGTATCCAGGAAATCGTCGATAATCTGGGAGATTTGATAGTGAAACTGTATAATCCCCTTCCTGCTAAACTGCTCTGTCTTTTGGTCAAAATAACACCTAAAAATGATAATTATCGTGATGATTATAATTATCACTAAACTTTTCCGTTTTATTTTCCTTTATACACCATTTTTCTATAAAAAAGTCGAAGCTGGCTGCAATATTTCTTCTCTTCAGTCTATATTATAAATTCAAATATAACTTCAAATCAGTTCCACTCTCAACTGAAGATGGTCGTTGAACGACGGAAACATGTCTTATAAATTCATATTTTGAAATCATCTTTTCACGTATCCAGGAGAACACGAGAGAAACACAAGAAAAATTAATGGCGGCGTTTTGGTAGAAATTTATTGCGTTAAAATTTTTTAAGAAAACTGCAATTAATGGAAAACATAAAAATTCACTTTGAATAAAATGTTCTTCTCACTTATCTCAAGATGTCTTTGTCAAAACATTCAATCGTTCTTTGGTAAAGTCTGTCTTAGACAAAGAAGTAGGGCTGCGATTTAACTCGGAGGATATAAGATCTATTAATTTTAATTATTTTGTTGAATTTCTTGCAATTAAGTTGCTACAACTTAAAACTGACGGAAGGTAAAATTGGCATTCTCTTCTCAGATAGGAAAAATGTATTTGACTTCTTTATCATTTCCGAGAAAAATCTAACTGATCAATATGTTTGAGAATCTTGGTCCTCTCATTCCTTTTCCCCTGAATTTTTTTGAGGTGATTTCACGATGCCTTCTAGGCTTGCTCTTTTTTCTAAATCGTAAGAACCTTTTCGTTTAATTAAAAGCGACTGAAATGGGCTTATTTTGGCAGGGGAATGACTCTTCTCTTTCTCGACTTTCTCAGCTTTTTCTCCGATAGAGTTTTTTAGTTCTGTGATCTCGCCGTTGTTAATGCGGCCGTCCCTCCAACTGTTGTTGGCCTTTACAGGAGTTTTCATTCCATTTGCAGTTGGCTTCTCTTCAGATACTTCTTCTTGATCTTCAGCTAAAACCCCTAATGGTTCAGTTGGGAGTTCAAACGACTTTCTTCTCCTTCTTAGTAAGCGGAAATGCCGTTGCTTAGAAGTTTTCACATCAGAGCTACCTGAAGCTGAATGAACCTCTTTGGACCTCTCAAAGGCTTGCTTTTTGGTTTTTACCAGATTTCCGTCATTTCGGCTCTTAATTTGTAGAATACTTCTTCTTTTGTCTGCAGGTTTGGATTTTGGTTTGGTTACACTAGCATCTCGCATGAGTTGCTTCCGTTTTTCGAGTGAAAGCGATACTGCTTCTTTTCTAGTAGTTCTTTCTCTGGATTGTTGTTTTCCAAGATCCACCAAGGTCATTTTACGATTTTCTGATTGAGATACAGTGAACTCTGAGTAACCGTTTTGAGTGATGATGGGATTTCTATCTTCTTTTATGTGCGAATGTGTATCAATATCTTTCTAGCTTCCATTTGCCGTTAGTTTTTCCGTCCCAGAATTGAGAAGCTTACGAAGTTCCCCGTTTCTTGCAATTGTTTGCTTTTCTTTCTGGTCATTTCCGAAATTGTTCGCGTCCCCATTCTCACCATGGACGTCATCGTTTGTAAAAACTTCATTTTCATTGGAATAGGTCTGAACAGGATTAGATACCTCAATAATTTCCTCACTTTTTGCTTGAGAAAAAAAATCTGTTTCATCAGAAACGCGGTTTTCAAAGATGAATGATTCGCAGCTAGGGTAACCTTCAAAATTCTCCTTCCCAGGCTCCTTTTCACTGCTTCTTCCAGAATTAGTTATGTCTTGATCGTTTGAGAAGCAATCGCCTGATGCTTTATCGGGTAAAGCCGGGCTTTCAGCATCGTTGACATTGTTGTCGTCGATGGGCACACATAAAATGAAGTCATCCTCAAGCGATGGAGCGTCTTTTCTTGTAGTATTTTCATGTAGAAGCTGAGACGCCTCTTCATCATTTTCCTCTTTTGTCTTGCTCTTTGAATGCTCAGGTAAGGATGCGCGACGGTTTCCTTTCTTGGCCTGATTCCTTGACTTCATTTGACTCTGTTCGGTTGTGCTCTGCCGTGGCGGTTTGTCGCCGTCTTTGCTGCTTGCAAAACGTCCGGACCTACTGCCTTTAATTCCGTTTCTTCGATGATCTACACTCTTCGTCTTTGCCACTGGAGACCGTGTTCTTGATCTGTCCAAATCAACACTTTTACTTTTTATAGCAAGTCGTTTCGACGTTCTTTGGGACGATATTACATCAGAGTTCCGTTTAGTTGACAAGCTTTCTTTTCGATGAGTCACATGAGAAGCAAAACTGTTACTCGTTTCGTTTTTCCGCTTAGAATGAGCTCGTGTTGAGCTTCCTTGTCGTTGTTGTGTGTATTTCTGCGTCACCTTCGAGTCCGCACTTCCAGAAGTCCTTTCCTTTCGTCTCGTGTTACTCGTTGGCGCCGCAATATCGACGCTCTTCACTTGTGAAATTTGTCCACGCCCTGATCGGCCATTAGTAATCGATTTTCGGTTAGATTCGTTCTGAACAGTATCTATGCTTTTGCCTTTGCCCAGCTGTTGCTTGTTTCGTTTGGTTGGGGGCAGGGGAGGTTTAAAAGCAGTTTTACGCCATTCTTCTTCACTGCGTGGTTTCCTTTCTCTTGACTTCTCGTTGTGATTCCCAGAGGAGGAGTCACTACTTGTGTCATTGATTAATGTGTCCAGTGTTTCGCATAAAGCTTCCAGTTCCTCATCTTTGTTCTCGTCTTTGGCCTTTCCTTTCTTCTTAGAATTGTTCTCGTCTTTGGCCTTTCCTTTCTTCTTAGAATTGTTCTCGTCTTTGGCCTTTCCTTTCTTCTTAGAATTGTTCTCTGTCTCTTTCGCGGAGCCTGTTTCTTTCTCGCTGTCTGTAGAGCTCCCTAAGGTATCAATAAGATTTCCCAAAACGGAGGACAGTTGGTCTGCTTCATCCAGAACGGCCTTTTGTGGCGAGCGAACCTCTAACCGCCCCGAATGCGAGTTTACTGCACTACTTGTGGGGAAATCCTCTTCATCTGAAGTGATGCCAACAGTGGAAATATTCGAGTTCATTGGATTCTCCATAAGTAGATCGCACGAAACCTCTTGTTCTTGGACGTACCTTTTGGAGAATCGCCTCGTAAATGGCGAGAAAATAGGGTCGCGGCTATCGCTAGTTTCAGTTGACTCTAGAAGTGTGTTTTCACTCACAGAACGACGGAGATTTCTTGGTTTCTTTTCATCCGCTTTGTCCGAATGGCTAGTTTCGGGTAACTTTTGAAGTGTGTTTTCACTAACAGACCGATGAAGATTGCTTGATTTGTTTTCATCCGCTTGGTCCGAATGATTATGCAGTTTTTGTGACAATTCATCGCTGTCAGTAAATCTCGATGAAGTTTGCTCAGAGTTATTGTAAGTTTCACACGATTCCAGAAGAGTATTTTCGCTTAAAGAACGACGAAGATTACTTGGTTTGTTTTCACCCACCTGGTCTGAATGGATTTGCAGTTGTTGTGATGATTCATCTCCGTTACTGCATCGTGATAAGGTTGGCTCAAAGCTATCGCAAATTTCACTTGATTCCCGAAGAGCGTTTTCACTCACAGAGCGGCGTAATTTGTTTGCCTTGATCGTGTTACTTTGGTCCAAACGACTTCGCAGTTTCCGTGACAATTCTCTTTTCCTATCAGTTGAATCTTCCTTCAGTGAAGTCCTAGACACACCAGTTTTCACTCTTAGAATGTTTACCTCATCCAGTGATAGTGTTCTCTGCAAGAGTTTTAAATCTCCACTCTTATTGGTGCCACCAGATTTTGTCCTCGTGCTCAAATTGGTTTTAGATGAAGATAAAGCTTCTTTCAGTTCCAGTATTCGCTCTGCCAAATCTGAGGAGTTCGCCCTACGTAGGTTTGGAGCATCTTTCTTTAGGGGAACACTGCTCTTTTCTTTAATTTTCTCCTCTGTTATACTAACATACAAACAAACAGATAATTTTAAATTGATGAAGTCTCGGAATAAGGCTTAAGATACAGCTCTTTGTAACATATCACACCAGTTGCCTAAATAAAGCAGCTCGCATTTCTTATTGCTAGCTTTCAGGTGCAATTTTTTTATGGTGAAAAAATTTAGCTAACCGCCTCCCGGTTAGCTCAATGGATAGGGCGCTGGACTGATGTGCGGGAGGTCGAGGGTTCGAACCCCGGCCGGACCAACACTCAAGGTCTTAAAATAATTGAGAAGAATATTCTGCCTTTCTATAACATCAAGAAATGGCTTAGATATTCTAGTCTTATTGGATAGGGGCAAATAAATGGAGGTCCCGTCTCCTGCAGGGTGAGGGATAGGAGACGTTAATTTCCCACGCACGAGATTACTGTGCGATGGATGTCCTCTCCTGGGGTGGGATGGGTGGGTTGTTGTCTTGCGTTTCATACATGAGCCTCTGGCTCGGGCAATATGGGTAACCATGCGCCACGTAAAGACATTAAACTTTGATTACTATTACTAATACTATTACTAAGCGGTCCTTTTCGCGTTTATTTGCTCCTGATAATAAGGAATTCTTAGGCTCAGACATCTTTTTCATCTTCCACACTCTCAACAAGTTGTCTAAGGACAACCACATGCACTACGCGAAATCAGCTAGTTAGAGACGTCAAAATTCATGAACATCTCTTGGAAAAAAAGGTCCTAAAACGAAAATCTTCCCTCAATGAAAGAGACTGGTGCATCAGTTAATAGTAACAAAAATAAAAATCAAATAACTGAGTAGCCAAGCACTGAAAAAGAGGAAGGGAAAAACTAGGCTTGTGGTATATACCTAAGGTACTTGTTCAGCAGTATCATGGGTCCCTCGGTTTGCTTTGATAACGGAAATATAATGAAACTGCCAATCTGAAAGAAGAAAAGAAATGTGATTTAAATATAAAACCCTGGTCTTTGGATGAGTGGACATGCGCAGTATGAAACAGTTCACGAGAATGAGGTTTTACACCTTAAGTCACCTCAACCCTCAGATCCCCTTCCTCCCCTAAAAAAATTGGCCTGTCTCAGGTTGTCTCAGCCCCTTCTTCACCTGCTGATATCTATCAATAGGCCAAAAACATGGACAAATTAGTTAGAAGTTAGCCGGTTGAAAAGCCAAATCTCTTGGTAAAGAGCTCTGGGCAGTAATCATAGGACACAACCACCTAAACTGTTACTGATTTTTAAAGTCGAAGTGAAGTTGAAGTGATACCTCTGTCCAACCACTTGATGTCATGAACAGCTTGGCGTTCCTCATGGACCACACGTGTTTTTTAAATCTCGCTCTCCCTTTGAAAATCCTGTAGTATTTTTCATCGGTCGGGTTTTTCTGAATTTGCCTGAAGAAATGTATACAGCAATTATGAAATAGCTCAATCTAGGAAAATACATCGTGAAAAACATAGGTGGGATGTATAAAATTATTATTATTAAACTAAAATCCTAGGGGACAGCTCTTTCCTGATCCTTGTAATATAGAACGGCGGGACTGGCCATGGTGATGTACATTTGCTATGACGGAGATTGTTTTGGACCTAGGTTCTTTTTAATGTATTTTACTCTGAGGAACTCGAGAAAAAAAGAAAAAGAAAGAAAGATGGGTAAGCAATAAGGTTAGACCCAAAAAATCACGTCGAGGCCTCAAATACAAAATATACCCATTCAAAGTTTATAATCATCCTCAACTCTATTCCTTACGACTCTGTAAGGAAAGTCATTTCCACGACGGCTTTATTAAACCGTCACAAAATATTAACCTCTCTACAACAACAAGCACGAGTAAAGTATCGTTATCTGAATAGCGCTGTGTTTGAAAATTCGCTTAAGGTTCAAATGTTTTCATATCCCGGATGAGAAACTGTCATACAAGTAAATAAAGGCTGATAGTTTCTAAAGAAACTGTTTGGGGCTGCGTCGATGGGGTTAACGAAATAATTTGAATAAATCAACAAAGTTGAAATGGTAAACTGGCCACCGTTACGATTATTGAAGCTCACGTCAAGTAGCTGTCATACAAGTAAATTGTCGTGAATTGTAACCTTCATTCTGACACTACACCCTATCTTCCCGCCGCAAGTACAGCAAAAGATTTAATAATTTCGTACCTGAAGAGACTTATCATGTATTTGATGGACTGCCTAGCTTTCTCAGCTGTTGTACTGTTCAGTAAATTCACCAGTTTTTCCTCCATCACTTCAGACGGCAACACGGACGAACGCCGTTTTTGCTGTGAGAGTTTTGTACGAACAGGCTGCTTCTCTCCTGCCTACAAAAAATACAAAAAAAAAAGGAGAAAATAGTGACAAACTCTGTCCGAAAATATCTCCAAGGACTCATTTTTTTTTTGACAAAAATCAACAAAACCAATCTTTCCACTTTGCTAGGTTATCTTAGGTGTGAGGATGATTAGCTTTTTGGTGACATATAACCGCTATCTGGGGGCTTGGCCGAGAATTTCAAAATGGGGCCACAACTGTAAATATCCGCGCATCTTACGTGAAACAGTTGTGCTACGTCGGTGGGGAGGGGGGGGGGGGGGGAAGCCGCATGGACCCGTACCTACCACTAATGAGTGGCAAGAAGTACCAACAAATGTAGCATCTGGCCCTATAATATAAAACTTTCTTCGCGTTCGCGTGTGTTCACTATGATGAGATTTATACATCACTGAGTGAAACCAACATAAAGCCTTATCTTCTCGATTTCTCTGACCTCTCCCTTTCTCCCTGTGGTATGCACATTCTTGCTTTCTTTACTCTTGTCTTGATGCTCCGCAACTTGGGCAATAACCGTTTTTTGCCAAATCGGAGAATTAAAGTCCTTTGTTACATGTCCGTTTGATAACGAAGTAGAACACATTTTATCAGCGGAAGATGGTTCGTCCTGTAACTAGAGTATACAAAAATGTTAAAATTTAAAGGATTTTTTGGTCTCTAAGTTCTCAGACACACGATTTTGCGAAAATTTTGATTACGTCACCGAATAGGCACGCGAACTCGCAAATAAGAAAAAAAAAAAAGGAAGGAACATATTACACCAAAGTAACAAATTTCGATAAAAGATCAAACAGATTAGCGCTCTTACTTCAGATATGTTTATATGAAACAATTATCAATGCAAGTGAAATTGCTGACTGTAATGCTTACCTTTAATTTAAGCCTTTCCAGTGAAGGAGAGGAAATTAAAAGCTTTTCATCTTTCTTTATCTGCAAAGTCTTCTTCTTGTCTGAGGGAGGTGTTAGTTTTGAATCAGTTGCATCTTCCGTCTTCTGATTTTCTCTATCATCCACGTTGTCAACGTTTATTATTCTTGGCCTCGTTTCAGAACCATCAACACTTAAGAGAAACGAAATAATAACATTTAGGGGAATAATTTATTCGCGAAAAGACCAAATAAGCAAAACAACTCAGGATTCTCATAACAGTTTAGTACATGTACATACCAAACCTGTAAATATTTTTCTCACTCCACCGTCCAGCGCTTAAGCGAAATTCATCGAACATGCATGCAGGACAAACTAACCAAGGTCATTTTTTCGTTTAAATTGAATTAAAAACCGGGATGTGGGCTGAAGTACAGTAATTAGCGAGCAAACCTGGTCACCTTGGCGAAGTGCAGAGTGTTAAAACATCCTTAAATTAACAGACCAGCCCTGCGCGACATATTTTTTCTGTGATCTAGCTATAGCTAGGATTTGATACTGGCAATTACAATTTTTCATTGATACAGACATAGATACAATTGTAATTTTCATTTACATGGTGAATTCGTGTGTGTTAAATCAGCCTACCTATCTTTCGGCCTTTTCAAGGGAGTTGCATTTCCATTCATCTTGTCTAAGGTGGGTTTCATGTCATTCAATGTGTTGTACCGATGAACAACATCGCGGACACGACCGCTACTTCTCCCAAGCTAAAACAAATGTAAAAAAAAATTGGTGAAGGATAACGTTTGCTTAAGAAACTTTGAGGTCTGTGTAGGCATCCACAGGAAACATGAAATTGAAACAATTAGAAAAAAACAACAACAATCCAAGCGAGAGAATATTTGCAAAGAAGCACCTCTACGTCAATTGTCATAAATCAAAAAATTAACACCTTACCCACGATCCTTTACGATCCATTCCTATTTTGGGTATCATTCCGTCAACCAGCAGCGGCGTTGCCATGACTAACATAGCGGCATCCCTCACTACTGACATCACACTATGTTGGCGCGCCTTGTCGTTTTCTTTGTCGTTTTCAGGGCTCAGTTTGGACAGGACTGGCATGGCACGTTTGGCTGAGGGAGACAACCTGTCAAAATATCAGAGCATCACAATTAACAGCGGCTAAAATAAAACAACAACAACAACAACAACAACTGGGACTTGAAATCCACAAAGTCTAAAAGTTTGGTGATTTAGCATTGGAACAAGATCAGTTTTAGTTTGTGCGCAGATGTTTTCCATTCGCTTATCTTAATTTCTTCCTTTACACGTTAAGACTAAATACTTACGCCGCTATCTCATCCAGTAAACTTTTCTTCATGGATTTCTTGTTTTGAGGAGTAGTTTGCTGCTTTTTGTTGTGTAGATTCTTCTCTTGTTCTCGTTTCTTTGTCTCGTCCTCTTTCTTCTTCCTTTCGTCTTCTTCTTTTCTCCTCTTGTCTACTTCGTGTTTTCTTTTCTCATCCCTTTTCTTTCGTTCTTCTTCTTTTTTCCTCTTTTCTTCCTCCTTGTGCTTCTTTTTCTCATCCTCTTTCTCGAACTTTGCCTTTTCCTCCATTTCCTTGTTGTCATTTTTATTCCTTCTAGCTTTCTCTCCTCCACCCTGAAGTTCACCGTTTAAGCGAAGTTCTTCTCCTTTTGAGTCAAATCTTTTGCCCGCAATCTTTTCATTCTTTACATTTTCATTTGGAGCAGTGTCTCCTTTGGATCTAGCTTCCATTTCTCGAATTATGTCTTGTGCAGACCTTCTCGTGTATTGTTCTCTCGAGAATGATCCCGCAGGGCGACTTTTCAAGGAATCGTCCCTCACAAATCCTGCCTTCTCTTCCTCTCTCGGTCGAACACTTTTCAATGTACCCTCTATTCTTTCTTGCTCTTCTCCATGTTTCATCTTCTGCAATTTTTTGTCTTTATCAGACTGATAATCCGAATCTCCTACGCTTTTCCTTCTAGGTCTGCTCTTTCCAAATCCAAAGAAACCTCTTCTACGACGGGTGTTCTCTCTCTGATTTTCCGAATTGTCCTTCGTCATAGAACGCTTTCTCGCCGATTTTTTCCTTGTGTCTTTGAGTTCATCGCCTGAACTTCCCACAGTGGAGCTTCTACTACGTCCAGTTGAAGGGTTTGGTAAATCGTTTATCCTCACACGCCTTGTTTTTGGTTTGAACACTTCATCGTCACTGCCAAACGTATTAGCGCGAACTCGGCTGTCGAGTGGTACTGATTCTGTGGATGACAGGGGCTTGTGCGAGACTAAGTTTTCCACACTGGATCCCGAAGTCGATCTCATTCTTGTTGTAGCAATATCTAAGTTGGTACCTGCCCGGTTTCGCGCCCGACCTTTAGATGAAGTATACTTCGCACCAGTACTGATTCTTCTTCTACGAGAAGCTAAAAAACAAAAACAAAGACGCGTAAGTAGATGACCTTTGAAGAAATGTAGTTAATACTCTTAAGCTTGCATAGACTGGTTTAGGAGGAGGCGTTTTTTTCTCCTTTGGACTGATACTATAAGGACTTAGAATTTAATCAAACTGATAGGATAGTTCAACAGTAATAGCTTAAATTCACAGCCCAATAGAGTACCCATGGCTTGTCTCCGACCTAAGCCAAAGATACCACCTTGTGTTGACGAGAGCATGAACGAACATGAATAACAATGACTGACAACAGCTCTAACTTTACCTTTGTTTGATACGGTAATCTGAGGGCTTCCGACACTGAAATCGGCGTTCACTGGATCATCAGTGTCAAACAAATGGTACACTTCTCGAATTCGTTTCTGTGTAATGTGCAAATAACGGGTGGCCGGGTTTATTGTATACTTCGCGTGATCTTTGTGGAGATTCTCCGAGCTGGTCCCTGAAAGTAATCGGTAGATGTTCTCGCGCTCACTGAGTATCTGCAGTGGCGGTTTGTCCTGTGCAAATGAACGAATCATCCATGCCGCATCTAGCGCGCTCAAAACACCGCGGGCGCAGCCAGATCCAGTGGGCCAAAAAGGCTAAGGAAGAAGGATCAAAAAATTTACACAGCTGCGCACAGTTTATTTAATAAGATACAATGAAATATATGAAGTTCATGTATTTTGTACTGCGGTATTAGATACATATGATGCACGATCCTCGCAGTAGATAGCGCTATCTAAGCAATAGCGAAAATCAGACCTGAAAAAAATACTGCGAGGATCGTGCACCATATGTATCTAATACCGCAGTACAAAATAAATGAACTTCATATATTTCATTGTATCTCATTTATCACTTTCACGGGTTTATTGCGAATCAACTTAACGGCCTGCTCCCAGTTGGCTTGTTAGCTCAATTGGTAGAGCGCTGCACTAGTATCGCAGAGGTCAGTGGTTCGAATCCCGTACAGGCCTGATTTTTTTCAGGTCTGATTTTCGCTATTGCTTAGATAGCGCTATCTACTGCGAGGATCGTGCATCATATGTAGTTTATTTAATACATATAAAACAGGCATGATCAGGCATAAAAACTGAAAACCTCTTCACAAGGCAGAACTCCTCGATTATGCGTAATAGCAGTTGGTAACAGTTACAGCTCTTTCCCAATCAGCATTATTTTCCTTTTTATTTATTATTATTTTGCTTCATTTTTTTTCTATTCTTTTTCCGCCATTCCTACCCGCAATTCGCAACGCCTACACAGAAGCAGGATTTTAAATTTCCTGTCCCTCCGCGACTCCTCCAGATCAACCCTATTAACTGAATTAGATCAGATTTATAATTTCAAATTTCGCCGTTTTATAAAGTCCGGGTGAGATAAAAATAAATTTACCGCCAGCAGTTAAGACGTTACATTGAACTACAACTCAAATACAGAATGTCTTTACTGGTGAAACTAATCTCTAAATGAAACGCATATTTCAGTATTAGAATTAATTTCAACCTTTTTTGCCTTTACGTAATAAAATTATTTTCTCCTAAAAAAATTGAGGATGTAGAGGAAACGGTAAGAAGAGTTTGGTTACTGACCTCTAATAAGCTGTCGCCTACTAAGCCCACAAGCAACTTGCTTCCTTGTCGTTCAATGATCCTGGCAGCGTGTTCAGCTTTTTTGATTGAAGTAAAGTCAAATGCAGCAATATCTGGTTGATTATTTTTGACAATTTTCAGCTCCAAGTTCCTCAGGGTTCCTTTTGTGGCGTATTTGACCACATCTTTTACATACTCTAGCAACTTGGAGGGATCGATGTTGCTTGGTGCCAGAAGGTTTGTTGGAGGACCAAAATCCTGCAGAATCGATAAAAACCAATGAAAATTGGCATCATCTTCATATCTCTATCATCGCTTGGTCCTTTGTAGGTGCATTACGATTTAAGTGGTGTAAATTAATTTTTTCTACAGAAGCAAGGATTGCAAAGAGTATCTTCCCCGCTACAGTTTCCTGCCCAAGGACGGGGTTAGGGGTTGGTTGATACGCAACTTCGAGAAAGTTGAATAGCTAAGCTCGGAAAGAAGTTCGTCGATACAAACCCTGTGATATTGCTTAAGAAGTAATTTTCTTTTTGGCCACAATATCAAGAACAACTCCATCTCCATCTCCCTACGGAAGCAGTGTGGCCAGTAGTTAGGGTGTATGCTGGCTGAAATACAAACAGACTGACCAGGAGAAAACAGCATGAATCAATTCTATACATTTACCTCTTTTAATGCTCCTCTTTTAAGTAAGCTTGCTTTGCCAGCAGTCATGACAAAATAATGTGTTTCATCTTTGTAATAAACAATATTCTCCAGCTTTATTCCCTTCTGTTTAAACAGTTCATCAAAAAACTGCGGATTGAACTGATACGCGATGCCGCTAATCTCCTCCACGTTAGCTTCTTCTTCCGTGTAATGATTCACAAAGTTCGCTGTTATACCGATGGCGAGCGTGCCTGTGTAATGTAACATAAAAAAACGGTAAGATTCACAATTATATATCGAGCGTTACCAGTTCAAGTTCCTTTTTCTTTCATGGAAAAATATCCTATGGAGCTCTTGCCTTTTTGCAGATATCAATTATATCACAAAGAATCGTCTGTCAGTTCAAAAAAGTAACGTTCGATTTCTTTAACTGGGATCAGGAATAAATAAGTCGGAGGTCCAACAATTTGCTCAACTTGCGCTTTTTGTGTACAATTGATGCTGACCGGTTTTCAATCAATAAAATATTGATTATAACAGCTATTACGTAAAGCGCGCGCTCTGATTGGTCAATTCATAGTCTACTATTTGCCCATGGGTGTACGCTGCTGACATGAGCAAATATTTTCAAGAAAGCAAATGTTTCGGAAGAGAGCGACTCTAGCTACTTGGGTGCTTAGCAAACCTCCCGCTTGCCTCCATAAGTCTACGCTATGGTGTTTACTATTTGTTAAGCAGCCGAACTCGAGCCACTTTTTGCGCAGTATGGCGTTCTTTGAGGATGAATGATCCCTAATTGAAACCCATTCTAAATTGAATATTTGGATTCAGTTATTTAGATAATTAATGGAAAAGAATATCAAAATGAACTTATTCTTCACCTACCTCTCATTTCAATTTGTTGGAAACCAGGAATGACGTTCTTCTTGCCATCGGCGCCAATGAGGACGTCAAATTCATACTCACTAACAGGGTGGGACACGGGGGACACTTTGCACCTCCACCCATCCTCCACTGAGTTTGGTTCGATGACATCATCGAATGTGACACCAGTATATAGCTTGGCACCAAATATAAGCGCAGTTTTGAGGAGGACAGACTGAAGTCGGTGAATACCTAAACAAAAAAAAATAATGAGGTTTATTACATCGCTCGCAGCGCCCGTGGGCAAAATAAAGTGATTACTGTGTTCTGGTTGGGCCCATCTTGCCCGCTCGGAATTGCTCGCATTAATTCCGCGCATGAAAAAAAAAATAGAATTAGAACTACGTTCGTAATTCTTGGACAATTTCGACGATGGAAACGCAAAAAACGGCAGAAGATAGTCAATAGAAAACAGAAACGACTCTCGTGAGTTTGTTGTGCTACAAACACAATTAAAAAGTAAACAAGTTATTCCTAGTTCTTATTCAGTAAAGCGGAATCTTTTTGCGATTTAATAAATCCTCTATTGACCAAGCTTGTTCGGTCAAGATGGTTGGATATTAGCCTCGTTCTTTTTTCGCATTTTTATGGACCTCGACTTCGTCTCAGTCCATAAAAATGCAAAAACAAAAAAAGAACTCGGCCAATATCCAGCCATCTTTAAACCTCACGCTTGGTTGATAACCCATATATATTCCTCTGAAGGGATAATAAAAAAATTGTATACAGAGAGGGTAAGGCTCTTTGAAATTTTTCGCTCAGGCTCGGAGCTCTCAAGAAACGATATTGGTGTTGGGGTGATACAAAAATCGAGGATCGCCTTAAAGTTAAACAAGTTCTGTATTACAAAGCGTGTAAGCAAGATGTCTCGTGACTACGATCTGGGCGGATAAAGATCCAGAGCTTGCCCGCAGATCACTTGAAAAGGCGTGTAATTTCCTGCTCTTTTTATCTTGTCTTGTCTTCTTTCTCTCTTTTTTTCTTTAGCCGGGGGAGCTAGAATTAAATCCGATCTACTGTTTGTCTCGGTCAAAGTACGAATGCAAGCTATTTTCCACTCTCGAAGTCACTTGTTGGAGGCGTTCAAAATAAACACTTGTTTTATTTTCTCTCCTAATACAAATAGGAGTTCCGTATTGAATTTGAAAAAAGGCGAGCTATGAAGACTAAACATTCAATTTAATCAAGTGGAGAAAATGAATCATTGGTGATGTTTTTATGTATTCACCAGAGGCAAAAAGAGAATTAAGTTTAAATTATTCCTCCTGTCGTATATTTGGATGCCTATAAATAACCGGACGTAATCGTGTTGATGGGGGGTTTATACCGAATATAATAACCTTGGCAAAGGTCAATCTCCCACTGGTCAGTTTTTTTTTTTAAATTATCGTATTGCACAGTTTCATAAAAGTTTCAATTCATTGACACTATGGAACGCGGTGAGTCTCTGGCCTGAAGGGTCTTTAAGAACAAAAACGACTTCTTTCTTTTCATTCTTTGGTTTCAGAATTTTGCATATTCATTTTTTAATTAAACACAAAGGAAAGCCGCAATATCATGTAAAATCTTTCATCGGCGACGATAAGAGGAAGGTTTTGACATGTTTAAATACTCAGATTGACGGTGTGAATAATCTTTTCTCGACCTGTTGAAAACTGACCAAGAATGTAAACTGTTTTTTAACACAGAAAGCATCAGTCACTGATGTATGGCAGGGAAGTTGGCATTTCAGAGAATATCAATGTGTTTTGAGCAAGAAATGGCTGTAGGGAAGTGCTTCACCATTATACAGATTCATATCTGTTATTTTAGCTTTTTGAGTCATGAAAGAATGCGGAGATACCGGGGGCGAATTCAATGTGGTTTTAAAATAATATAAACAGTAATTTTAACAACTGAAAATAGGGAAGAAAGATTTTGCGTTTCAAAAATAGGACCAGACAGATGGGTTGAGTTCTCACAAACTACAGATATGTCAAAACGAAAAAATAATTTGTAAACCTAGATCGCAACAACGTTGACTCGTGATACATGCACCTACAAAATAAATGTCGCAATTGTCTAGTGTGCTTCAATTTTGTCTAAGAGTCATTGTGGTTATTCCAAATATTGTTCAATTCAGCTTTTTACAAAGGGACTGAAGAGCTTGTAAAGCTGATTCAGTGTATAGCTTGAGGGTGGAATTCTAGGACGTTTTTATTGTAGAATCCTTCTTGTTTGAAACAGGTGCAAAGCCAGCATTTATTAACTGCCAATTAAAGTTATGATTCTTTCATTTACTAGGACCGTTTAGCTTTTAAGGGTAAACACTGTAAGGAAACAAACAGCTTCAAAAATTTGAAAAGGTAATGATCCTGACGTAATGACCAGATTTAATCATGTCCAAGCTTGGAAATTGATGCCTCTCGGGTATCATCGTGGAAAATAAACCCCTCATATAATTACATACCTACATACATACGTTTATTGCAACTCCCAAGCTGGGTTTTTCAGTTACAAAGCCTGTATGTGTTTGGGCGTAAATCGAATTTCTTACCTTATAATTTCCTGGAACATTATCTATATCGGCTTCGCTTTACGTTAAAATGATAAACAATCCGCCATATTTACAAAAACAAATGGTATCGTCGAGGATTATAAGCGCTTATCATGTCGCCACGAAATTTAACTTTAATGGTTTGAACACTGACGAGATAGATGCCCTTGACAGCTATTCATGTAATACGACATTTATCTTGAATGGTAGCTATGAAAGTGCTTTCAACAGTTTTCAACAATTTTCATAAAGTGATCGTCCTCTTCTGGAGAGTAAATGAATTCAAACAATCAACAAATGGCGTTCAGTTATGAAAATAAAAGAAACAACCGGAAATTTTTTTGGAAAACAGAACAAGGAAATACCCTCGAGCGTTTTTTCGTTCAGAAACAGAAAAGCAAATCATGTTTTAGGCAAGAATCAGAGCTGCTAGCGGCGGAAGGAAATACCGATGTTATATTGTTTTGAAAGCCTCAGCATTTTATTTGGTATATCACATGCGATTACTTGATACTAGGCTGTTTAGAAACACGTCCACACATAGATACGATTAATTCTGGATCAGTCTATGATTCGCGCAAACCTGAAACCGTAAGTTTGCACCCAAAGATTTGCGAACATTATAGACACAAAAACAATACCTGAAACCATAAAACACAAACACAGATAATTTGCAGTAATAATACTTACTAATATGGTCGATAGCGCCAGAACAAAATTTCCCGTAGAATTTCTTAGCTCCAAGTGAGCGAAAATCCGTAAGGAGAAATGGCCAAAGATGAAGAACATTATTCCGCACAAAAGATTCTCTCTTCTCCACAATCATAACTCGTGCACCAAGCAAAGCAACTTCAATAGCTGTTCTTAAGCCGATCGGACCTGCACCGATGATTAATACTTGAGTGTCTTCGCATATTTTTCCTTTGCCGTATTCCTTCTGATTAGCGCGACTATCTAATAGCTCCCAAAGAGATTTACACCTCCACGTTTGAAGTTTTCCTTTAAGTGACGAATAAAATTCTCGCGGATTATCAGATTTGATACCAAGTAGTTTCACCAGTTGTCCAAAAGCACTTGTGATTTCGGGACAATCTTGAGCGTCCATAAATTTGAAGAATAAATCTTCAACGGTTTCCTTACTTTTGCAGTCATTTTCCATCGTAATTTTTTTGTGAAACGTAAATCGATTGCATTCATGCGGGCTCGAGTTAACCCAGTAATTCAACAGCACAAAACCAAGACAACCAAGTGTTCGGCACGGTATTCACAACACATCGCAACGGATACAAAATTCAAATTCAGTAGCAATATAATGTGTCACGTCTGTTTATTCACATCAGTGGTCACTCAACTTCAACTCCTTTGTTTTCCTGACAATTGACAGATGTCATCGTTGTTTGAAAAATTCCGCAGCGAAGTGAGTCCTGGCCGTTGTGGATCTTGGAACGATCAACATTTTTTCCAAATCTTTGTTATGTTATCAGTTCAACAACTTTGCGCTCATATTCTTACTGTTATCGTTTATTACTGATCACTGTAGTCTTCAGGCTTACGTAATTGCATCTGACCTTATCAAACAAGGTTCGTAATTTGCAAGAAGATGCAAACGTATTTCCCTCAGGAGACCAGTCGCCTTGTTGAATAATTCAGTTTCTCGCAATGCTGGAGTCTTGAGAGTAAAACAAAGACACTCAGTCAGTCGAGCTGAAAACATGTCTTTCATCTCCAGTGATGATGAATAAGTCAACATTTCGTGTTTCGTGACAGAAAAGCTTCTTTAACAATTAAACTCTTGACTTCACGTGTCCTGTCTGTTCCAGAACTGTCTCACAGTAGCGAGCGTGAATATTTGTTTGCTAGGACTGGGGTAAGCATTCTTTTGACTCGCGAGTGTCACACGCATGATGTTGCGCGACACTCGCCGTGTCAGAGCCCGCTTCAAGAGCCCTTCGATGTTTTTGACAACATAATATAGGGAGAGTTCTGTCTATCAACTATCTTATGGATAGTAATTGAAGCTGCATAAGAGGAAATAACTCAGGGAGCTTCCTCCACTGAACAATATAAAGGACCAACCAAACATCTGTCAGAATTGTTCCACTGAATGCATGTGTACGACACAAAGCTTCTATTATCCTTTAGCCTGCGAATGATTCTGCCCAAGCTATAGAAAGAGTGAACTCTGATCTACAACGTATACGCGATTGGTGTTTCGACAATTGCTTAATGCTTAATCCTAGACTTTGGAAGTCGAAGAATGTCTCTTAAAGTTCCAGACTTTAAGTTGTCCCTGCTCGGAAAGGAAATTATCCCAGCTCAAACAGTCAAGGATCTTGGTGTTATTTTCGATCCCACACTATCCGTTGACAATCATATCTCTGCGACTGTCTCATCTTGCATGTCCAACTATCCCAACTAAATCGCATTAGATTCGCCTTTAACAAAGATCTGCTTGAAACTAGAATTAACGCCCTGGTTTTTAGTATGATGTACTACTGTTCGTCAGTATGGTCTTCCACATCAGCTTGTAATGTTCATAAGCCGACAATATGTTCCAAATTTTGCCGCCTGCATTATTTGCAATGTAAAGAAGTACGATCATATTTCTTCCACATTAAGGAATCTACGCTGGCTACCGGTAAAATCAATCCTGTACTATCGTGACGCTACCTTATCATTCAAATGTGAAACGGGCCTAGCGCCTGAATATTTAACATTCGAGCTTGTAACAAGAGGCAGCGTATCTGGGCGTATAACGAGGAACTTTCAACAACTCAACATTCCCCTTTTTAAAACTACAACAGGTCAGAGGACCTTTTATTATAGAAGTGTAGCCATCTGGAATAAACTTGACTCAAGATTGAAACTATGTGAAAAACCAGTTTCTTTAAAGAGAGCTTTGAAAATGCATCTCCTGAATGATTTTTTATTTAAATAACCATTCTATTCTTAAAGTTATGAGTAACTTATACTGTATTTAACATGTTATTAGTTAGTTTTGTATGTATAGTATCAAGTATGTGAATTATGTAATTGTTCACTGAAAAGCACCAGACAGGGATGTGTTAAATAAAATGTATGTAGCTAATAGACACGCATCAGTGAGTCAGCTGTGTTCAACAAACATGATTGTTCAATTCCTACTGAGTCTTTTCAGCTACTTCAAAGTAAATTCAGTGCGCGGTAATTTGGTAATATACAGAGTTAAAAAGCTGACGTTTCGAGCGTTAGCCCTTCGTCAGAGCGAATGAAGAAATTAGTTAGCCCTTCGCTCTGACTGACGAAGGGCTAACGCTCTAAACGTCAGCTTTTTGGCCACCGTAAAGAGTTTTAACTCTTTACGGTGGCCAATTTATAATTTCAACTTAGTTGATGTTACTAAATTTCACATGTTACCCCTGGGTTCAAACCATTTACTGTATTACTCATTGTGAAGTTGTCAAAGGTGAAATTACAATAATTGAAAATGACTTGAAGCGAAACGAAAATTGTTCTGACGGCTAGAGCCACTGTATAGTATAGTAAATGTAAATCAGAAATCGAAGGGAAACTGTCTTAAATCTCTAAGAGAGATCTTCATTGCGTCCGATGAAGACCACTCTCTCAAACTCCTTGTTGCAACTCCCACATATAAATGAGCTTCATTGTCACCGGGTTGATGGCTTTTGCAGCTAAAATTTTGGCCACGGTTACATTTCTTTCCGCTGTGACACAAAAGGATGCATCTTACAAAGAGCATGTTGATACGGTTAACTTTGTGTACGGACGCTTAAAATGTGTCAACTTTTACGTCTGACTGCTTAGTTTTCGGCTGTCCAGTACGGCTGACAGTTGACCCCATTAAGGCCTTCTCAATACGACCTAATACATTCACGAAGGTAACCCGTTTCAGGCGTCCAGTTAGTGGCGAAACGCGACGGAAGTGTGGAATGGAGAAAGGAGGGAGTTTGGGTCGAGCTGTGTACCTAACCCAGACCTCCTTTCTTCTCTTCTTCCTCAGCGCGGCTATTGTGCCCCATTGTGTGTCCCAGGTCTGAAACAGCTAAAATGTAAATTGACTTCTTCAACAGAGACGTTTGTCAAAATAATGGTGTTTATTGCTCTCTAAAGATATATTTACACAATCCACCTGTTTGGCATCTATCACACAAAACACATAAATTTCAAGCAATACGAGTTATTTCCGGACCGTTATCATAGGATACAAATCTATTAGCTTCTAGTAAATTCTTCAGGGATGATGCTTTCACTTGTGGAATTGCTACTATGAATGTTTTATTCAGCAACTGCAGAGACAAAATTGAGGTTCATTGTGGTAAAAAGGAGAGATAAATACAACAGTCAAAAAGAAATACACTAGTCAAATTCTAGTAAAATCCTTTACAACATGGTATGTACCATAAAAATATACAAAGTTTCTCCCCCAGTGAGCAACTCCGGGAGTGTCCATATTTAGTGAGCTTAACGTGGCTCAGTCCTTGTAGCAAGCCCACGTAGGCAAAAGTAAGTTCATTTTATTATGATTTGGACTGGGAAGTCACCTTCTTTAGTACCAAGTTTAGAGAAATATTTGAACACCATCGCTACAGATTCTATGTGTGGTTTGGATGATCTCTTCCGAGAAAACTATTTAAAAATCTTCCAAATCTAGTGTCAACAAGAGACGCGTCAAGGTATTCTACCACGTGACCCTGTCCCAACAGGCAGCTCTGTTCTGATTGGTGACTTATAGTCACGTGACATGGAAGGATTAGAAGAGGTGGGGCTCCGTTTGGAAAGAAGTTGATCAGCGAAGAACATGGCCTGTGAAGAGAAACAAACAAAACAATATCGCCGGAATTTTTTCATACCATCCTTTCCAATATGTGCAGATATTTCACTTCCTTTACTACCCGTGCTATTTTTTCTTATATGCTTATCACAACAGTGTTTATCTACATCAGCAAACTTATATCTAAAAGTTTTCTTTTCGCCTGATAACAACTTTCTGTGCGAAAAAATAAAAACAGAAAGAAAACACACACATGTAACAACTCGTTGCCAAGTCGCACAAGGTAAAGATAAGAGAGTGGGAGTGGATACTTAGGCCTGACAACAAACTATTTGGCCAGAACAAAATCTTCCGCCAGATCACCTATGGATTCCACTTACTCAAGGAATCTGGCTCCTAACAAACCTTGTACATAATTCAAAAAGAATTAGCAAAATCAATAAATGTCGCAAACTTAGCTTGAAGCACAATTTATGGCAGTATGGTCATTCAAGGACCTACCTTTTGTGCACTGACTGTTTGTACACCAACACTTCTTGTCTGCCGGCTTATAGGGGCCAAAGGCGAAGAAGCCCCAGGCCTCTCTCCAAGCTTAGGATGAGACCTGGGAACTATTCCCAAATCACCCAGCTTGTAATGAGGAAGTGGACGGTTCACTGCAGCTGCCACAACCTGGGCTTTAGAGGGGAGTGTCCTAATACGCAACAAACAGCAATGTCAGTATAAGTTATGTCTCGCCATGTAAAAAGGGTTTCTTCTTCAAGTAAGTTGAAATTGTAAATTGGCCACCGTAAAGAGACAAAAAGCTGACGTTTCGAGCGTTAGCCCTTCGTCAGAGCGAATGGAGGAATTGTGGGTTGTGTGTGGGTTTATATGCAGAAAGTGAAGCTACGCTATTGGTGG